ACACAGCTTAACACGAAGGAAAATCTCCAAAAATCCCTGGTGGTAAATAGACTGTGTTTCTACACCATTACGTACAGCAAGTCACACCACTCAAGGATGTCAGTTCAGCAGCATAGCTCTTGTTGGTAAGCTAAATAATCAGCACCAGAGCTACAGAATCACACTAGCTTCCCCAAGTCCAGCAACTGATCTGTTCTCTTCTCCTGAATCACAGGGCCTTGTTCAGCTTTATCCTGCCACCCAGATCATCCGTGTCCAGTGCTCGCGCTGTGCTGAAATCTTGCCCCACTATCTGATTACGCCACAGTACTCCGCTGAAACCACAACCTTCGGGAGAGCGTGACAACAACCCCAAGAGCTGCAGCATCTACTTTGAAAGTCAGGCAAAAAAGACTCCACCCTCAACTGGGGAAAATAAAAGGCTGCCAAATGCTAGCATCAGGCTCTGCTACAAGCAGATGTTGCTCTACTGCAATCGTCTGTGAAAAAAAACAATTTACAATTACAATTTAATTACAAAGAACAATTAGATACCTGACATCAGCCTTTCATTGAGAGACAGCTCAGATTTTGGAGCAACTTCTGAGCCCTTCTGACAAAACCAGTCCCACCTGCTCCCTCCTCACCTTGCATCGGACTTGACAGCATGACACATCATGGGATCTTCCACCTCTCCATCTCCTGACTCCATCCCAGCCACCAAGGGAGTTCATGCTCGCTTTTGACTCCAACGCAGGGACAGCGAGCATGGTTCGCTTCGAATCACATGAATAAGGTGGCCTAGAATTAGCCCTGCTCTGGCCATGACAGAGTCTCACAGGGGAACTACGCTACGATACCTCCACCTGTACCCCTGAAGGTGACTGGCATATAATCCTTGCTTCTGCTCACCTTCGATGTGGAAGATGGGCAGAGAGAGTAGAGGCTCATGATCTCCTCCCTGTTCTGATACTTTAGGAAGGGGGCAGCAAGGCAGGTGGGAGATGTGCACTTCCTTTCCACAGGAGAGCTCTTGCCAGTCCTCCAGCATCTCTCAAAGCTCCCCAATAGCGCTGCAGCGTCCTTTTGGAGAGGGGCTGCTAGGCTCATACACAGTATCTTTGCCCATGGTTTTCTGTCTGTTGTCACATTTTTAATCTGTGGAAATCCAAATCATCTTGTCTTGCTTGTGACAGTATCTTGCCCATTTTCTGCAACGGACAAAGCCCCTGGACCCCCTTGTGCCTGCGTTCATACAGGTAGCTTCACATGCAGGAATAAAGGAAAACCACTGGTCAAACACAATCCCCTCCACCCCAAACACCAAAAGGATCAGACATCAGGACACCTTGTGCAGACCACAGTCTGGAAGAGCCTGGGGTGGCCCAGACCCAGCCTAGTGCAGGGCAAGAGGAGACAGCAGCAGAGCAGTTAGCAGGTGTACATGAAGGCAAGCTTGGAAAATCCAGCCACGTTTATCCAAACAAAGCACGTGTCTACTGTCAGACAGATGGCAAACCACCTCCACCCCACCAATCCCAAGTCACTTAATAGCTTATGGGACATGAACAACCTAAAAGCCCTTCAGTCCAGGGACTAAAAGAACATCACATAAAAAAATCACAGCATTTCACAATGTCTGCGACAACCCAATTGAGGTCTCATCATCTTGGAGTGGTGAACCATTCTTGTTGGTCACTCCAAGCAGGGATATGCTTTTCTTAGCCTGGCAGGGATACTATTATTTATATATAGTGCAAATGTAAAAGAAAAAGAATAAAAATTCAACGCACCACTTCTCAGCCGAGGAGATGACTGCAGCCTCAAAGCACACAGATTCCAGCTCAGATGCCAATTCAGTTACTATTTCACCCAGCTACAAAACTGTTTCAAACACAAAAACTTCCTTAAAAGGACCCTATCAAGGCACTTTTATATCACTTTTATTCACTGTTTGTTTGCAATAAACTCTCAGAAGACTAAATCCGGAATCTCAATTCTTATTAACCATTTTATGCACACTAGCTTGTTCTTACAGAATTTCTGTGTGTATTATCAATGGAAGTTATAGAGTGTGTGCATGCAGGACTAAGAGGGAAGGGAAGGAGAGGAAAAGCAAGGATTAATTCTCAACTCGTGAACAACCAAGTGCCCTCTTTGAAGGGGTTTCCAATGAAAATTTTGGATGACCAAAGAATGCACCATCGGTTTTGTGAATGACGACACAGATTGCGCAACCAGACACACAGCCAGACTGCACTTCCATTTTTGAGCACAAATTTGGCAGTGTCTCCACAGAAATATTTCCCTTATTAAGGTCAACAGGCTGCAAAGCAGTTCTTCAGTGCAGTCCTAAAAAGACCACAGCCCTATTTAAGAATGAGCAGCATTGTAATTGCCAGGGATTTCCGCTGGAAGAGCTTGGAAAGAAACATAGACATCTCCCTCGCTACACATTTTCGTAACATTAGACCCATCTCTTTCCTACACCCTGTCAAAAATGATGCCAACCACAATTCACTTGCATGAGGGCAAGCTTGGCAACATGACTTTAAACACACACACCTCCTGATCAACAAAATCAGGAGGAAAAAGTCTTCAGCTTCACGATTGCCATTTAGGGGCTCCTAAACAGTCTTCTATTCATAAAGCAGATACACAGCAAAGAATATTTTAGATTAAATGCAGACACACACGCCTCCCCAAGCCAAATCACGGTTCACATTTTTCATACAATCCAGGTCATAGCTGGGCTAGATTCATCCCAGCATCATAAGCATCATCCAAGAAGACAACCAGGTTTCTTGATAAATTGCAGCCTTTAATTACTCTTCAGCAGTTCCACAGATCAGCCCTGCCTTTGAAACACGTTTGTCTTCTCAACATGCTCTTCCCCCAGCTAGACTCGCATAGTATTTGTGTTAAGACAGTCACCCCCTGCCCCAAGGCAGGGCCACTTGGGATGCTAAGCCCTGTGCCCCTGGCAGCAAGGCCTGGCTTCTCCCCTGGTGTCGGAAAAGCTGCAACCCCCTTTCCACAGGCAGCATCACCCCAGGTAGCTTTCGGAGGCCTGGCACACGAGCCCCCACTCCTCCCCTGCCCAACGACACACTGCTTACCTGCACCTCCCCTTCCCAGCACACCCGGCCTGGCTCCCAGGTGAGAGCAATCCTTTCCCACCTCTAAGCCAAATCCAAAGGAAAAGGCTCTTCAATTTCAATGCCCCCCTTATGCTTCCGGACCTGCTCTGACTGTCACTGGTCAGCAAAGATGCCAGTCTCCTGCAGACAGTCCAGCTCCTCTTCACATTTCATTTTTAAAGCATCATCTACTCACCAACAAGAAAAAAAGGGTCAGCCACAAAACATTCACACACAAAAGAAAACAAACAAACAAAGATATGTGACTGCAGGCCTGAATTATTCACAAGCTAAACCTTCAACAGTCACCCATCACACCTGCACATACAGTTTGCTGTTTTGGCTAATTTTAGTGGGGGTTTTTTTTGTTTGGTTGTTTTGGTTTTGTTGGGGTTTTTTTAGGGGTTCTGTGGTTTTTTTTTACTTTTCGGGGTTTTTTTTTTGGAAAGCAGATCACATTGCCCCAAGCACCATGTCAGCAGCAAGACCCAGCATGCGGATACCACTGGGCAACTGACACAGCACGGGTTCACCCCCCCCAGCCCAACGGCTCTTACATAAGCTAGCACAGTTGGAGGGAGATACAATCGACGGAGGGAGCCAGGACGTGGGCTGAGGAGCAAACAGCATCTCCTTATTCTCAAGGTCCAGAGGAAAAAAAAGAAAAGAAAAAAAAAAACCCCACCTCCAAACAAACCCCCAAAACACACCTTATTATTCATATTTGCCTACAAACCAATTCGGCACCATTGCTTGCTTTAACTCAAATCATACTCCAGTTTCCCCACAATTTCAGGCTACCTGTAAATAAAGAATGTTCCAACATACTCCCAACATGGGTTTATGTGTGTGTGTGTAAAAAATGCACATTTCTAGAGTGCTGCTTACAGTCCAGAGTGTGTTTTGATTTCATGCAGATTTACACACCAAAGCACCTTTCCCATGGCCCCCGCAAGCCCCAGAGCAAACCCAAGCGGAGGAGGGAGGACACAGGTTAGGAGGCAGTACCTGCATACATACAAAGTAAAACAGATGCTGCTGGAAAACACCACCGATAAAATCACGACTTTAGAGGCAACAGCTTTAAAAAGCAGCATGACTAGTCACATTCCAGAGGAGAGAGATTATGCTTTTTTCGTTAGATGAAGGAGAGAGGAAGGAAAATAAATGCTCTCAAGAATAGCTCCAAAAGGCACAGACCGGGAATCACTTCTAGGTGAGACACTTAAAACAAAGAAGATGGAGTATCCCTCTCTCTTCAGGGAGGAATGCTTCCTGCTGGAGACAGGGCTCAGATACGAGAAAGCGCTTTTTATACAGGGCTACGGAGACCAACACACCCATTGTCTACCAGCAGGAGCTTTTCTGCATTCAGAGAGGCTGCAGCACAGGCCAGGTTTTGGGGGTGGAGGGTTGAAGGCGGGGGACAGGAGACACCTGCGGTCTTTTAGGCATCTCTATCCATGTTTAGAAATAGCCCCAAGGAAGGGGGAGCTGCAGGATAAAGGGAATTAGGAAAAAAATGCAGTGCCATTCAAAGGAATCAAAGCAAGGAGAAGGACAGGTCAGGGCCTTTTCAACAATGGCACCGCCAATGCTCGGGGCCAAAACCCAAAAAGCAGAGAGAATAAGGCACAGACAAAGGGGGATGTAACACCCCCCTCGTCTCAGAATAGGGTTATTTTAAGCCTGTCTCCCTGGAGCTACCCTAATATTTTCTCTCATGACTCAAGTCACCAGGGAAGGGAGTTAGAACAGAAAAGAAAAAAAAAAAAAGAAAAAAAGAAAAAAGAGACAGAGCTAAGCCTAACACCGTAAGACTCCCTTCTAGAAGGGGGAAAGCCCCAGAAGACATGAAAGGCGAGCTGGGCTGTGCCTTACCTGGAAAAGTGTGTGGGTTGGGTGACCCTCTTTTAAGGCACTTTGAACAGAGGACGTGCACAGTGTAGTACAGGCCCGGCCATTCCTGGAGCAGGACATTCAGTTCTTCCACTAAAGGGGTGATAGCTTGCCAAGCTGTCCAGATATTTGGTAGGGACGCATGACTAGCGATGGACAGAGTATCTGGCTGCAGAGCTCCCCTGGCAGGCCGGTAACTCACCACCACGGGCACCTTTCCCCGGTAGGCATAGATCTGGTATTTGCCATCTGACCGCTGAACCACATGGCTGTTAATCTGGACACTGTAGCGTGCAAACAAGCCGGGTGGGAAAATGAATGGAAAGCTATATTCAATCTGCAGCTGCTCGACAACGAAGGACTGTCCGCTCAGATTGGCGCCGTTGATCCACGCCTCCGCATGGGGCACCTCATTTTTCACGTAGCAGGGAAACTTGTACCAAGCGGCCGCCCCATTTAGGGGCTTGCATTTGGGTTTGTTGACACAGTAACAGAGCCCCATCTTTTCCAGCAGCTCCAGGATGAGCTGCAGATCCTCCCGGCTCTGGATGTGGGGCTTAAGGAGGAGACGGATAACGTGGGCAGGGAGGAGGCCATGCAGCAAGAAGCCCTCCACGTAATGATGGAGCTGAGTGGCCCTCAGTTCGTCAATGTGGGTGTCGCTGAGCAGTTTCTGGAGCAGCACGGTGGCATCCCGCTGGCAGAAGACGTTGAGGATGTCAATGAGCCGCGGCAGGTTGTGGAACACATACTCCCGCAAGGTGAGGTGCTCCTCGAAGTAGAGCAGCTTCCCACTCTCGTGCAGGTAGGACAGGGCGCTCTGGAGCCGATCCTCCGTCAGGCCTGCCTGCAAGCCCAACCGGGCAGAGTCCCACCAGCTAAGCCACAGCTGCTGAGCTTGTGGCTGAAAGTGCAGCTCCTCCAGCACTTGCCAGGATTTGGGCAACACCCGGTGCAGGTTCGGGAAGATATCCCGGTGCTCAGCCACCGAGAGGAGCTTGTCCCGCAGGCGACGCACCTGGCAACGGTCCTGGCAGCTGAAAGGCAGCACTGGAGAGAGGATCTGTGGGCGGTGGTTGAGAAGGTACTGAAACTGGGCTTTCTTTCGCCGCAAGTTCTTGTCCGAGACCCCATAAAAGGCAGCGTGCGGGCTGGAGCAGCGCAGGTCAAAGTCCTGTCCCAGAGCCTCATCCACCTGCTGGACCAAGCTCTGGAGACCCTCAGCATCCCTCTTCTCCTGCTGAGCGATCTGGTGATGGATGTCCAGGCACTTCTCTTCCAACTCCCGCTCCGCACAGAGGTCAGCATGGGTTCCCACCATGCACACCACAGCATGGGGCACCTTGGAACCAAGCCAGTGCAAGAAATAGCCCACAGAGGCGTAGAAGTGCTGAGGGACGTAGGCACTCAAATTCACCACCAGCACATACAGGGCTCCAGGAGAGAGGAAGAAAGACTGGATCACATCATAGCTTGGGTCCCCCGCCAGCTCGTACACAATGAATGTCAGGCCCCTCTCTGCATCTGCTGTCCAGTCCATCACCTCAATGCCCTTGCTGCCTCCTGACAGTCCCAGTCCTGACGGTACTTGGGAGGCATCCGGTGGCAGCGACGGTGCTGGGCACAGTGTTTCCCCTTTCACTCGGTGAGAGGGCACATGAGAAGGGATGTCCTGCCGCTCAATGGGGAGATGTTCCAGCTGCGGCGTGGCAGGTACCCGCGCTGAGGAAGCATCCTGAGGCTCCGGGAAAGGGCAACACCCAACTGGCACTCTCCCAATGTCCTGCTGCTGCCCAGAGAACCCTCTGGGCTGGGTGCTCCCTGCCTCCAGACTTCCCATGTCCTCCCTCTGCCCATCCTCCTCCATGAGGCATCGTCTCAGCAGGGTCTTTCCTGCATCCTTTAGACCCATGAGGACCAGCTTGAGGCGGGGTTTGAGGGCAGGCTGGGAGTGGGCCAGCTCCTGCTGGTAGGCTGCAATGTAGGGGATGCCTTTCATGCACACCTCGTAGGGGGGCTGGATGAGAGGGTTGTCTTTGATCTTCCACAGGGTGACTCGGGAGAGCTGCCCAAAGCCCTCGGGCAAGATGGCAATCTGGTTGCCTTGCAGGACCAGCTCCTCCAGGCTGTGGAGGAGCACGATGGAGTCAGGCAGGTAGCGGATGCGGTTGTTGTCCAGCCAGAGGGTGCGGAGCTGGCGGAGCTGACAGAGGCGAGGGGGCAGCAGGGTGAGCTGGTTGCGGCTCAGGTAGAGCTCCTCCAGACTGGGCAGTGCCAAGATGGCAGCGGGGAACTCCCCCAGCAGATTGGAGGACAGGTTCAGCATCTTGAGCCGCTGCAGGCTGCCGAAGCCAGCTGGAAGGGCCCGCAGCCGGTTACCGTCCAGCATAAGGCTCTCGAGGGCGCTCAGCTGGCAGAGGCTCTCAGGCAGGGCCGC